ACTTTTAGACAGACAACACGGTTTAACTGGGAAAACATTGAAATCAAATTTAGTTGTAACAGTTAGAAAACTTCACAAAGTCCCTGTCAATGTGAAAAAAAAACAAAACACAACCGTATTGCATTTTGTGAAAAGCCTATCCATTTCCTTCTCATGTGGTTTATGTGCATCAGTTTACTACTTTTGTTGGTTATGTGTTTTTGATGAATTATAAAGATAAATGATAATATAAAATATTAAAATCCTGAGGGTGATTTAGTCGGATTACATAACATTTTCTAAACATTTTGCATTCCACGCAATTTCAGTAGCTGCAATGCAGATTACCGTTTAGATCACAAAACAGTAGTGTGTTCACAAAGGGGATTGAGTCAAGAGTGACAATGTGATTTGGCAAGGTAAACGTAACCTCTTTAACCGGTAATTAACAGGATAAACACTAATAACTTTAAGTTTTTTATAATAAAAGGTTTCCTTCACACCTAACCAACATACTTAGATGTTTGAGTAGACAAAACAAAAAAAAGCTGTTATGACCTAATAGAGCGTTGAACACATTTGATTTAAAAACAGAGCATTGCTGAAAAATGTTTTATCGGTAATGCTTAACATTTTTGGCTTTGGGTTTGTTTGAAAGTGAGAAGATGCTTTCCAACCACGGCTTCGTATAAACTTTAAGAGATCGCCGCAACCTCTGCTGGACCAAAAGTTTGCCAGACAAATCATACCAGGATATTTTCTTTGTAGTTAGACTGTTGTATTGTTTGCGTTGACTGGATTTCTCCGTCGCCTCAGGACACGGGGACAACTCAGAAGCAGATAATTGGGACAGCAACGCATTCCTCATTCTCTCCTGGGGAGAAACCTGTTCTCCCTCTCTGTTGGCGCTCTGTAGAGTTACTTTAGAATGAGCCTCGAAATCTGCAGGGTGCACTGCTGACACAAACTTGTCTGCTCTCTGCACTATTTTTGACGCGAACCTGCTTTAGTTCCACACATTTTTTTATTTTTTTTTAATCTGCTGACATAGCTGCTTATGTCAAGAGACGTGAGCCAGCTTTGTTCCAGGAGCTCCGGAAAACAGACTTTTCCACTTTACACTTATGTGAGAGGAACGATCCTGTTCTTTGACAGCGTATTAATGGACGCTTGGCTGGGAGCTGGAGGGAGAGCAGGACACGGTCTCTGTTTAATACGGCTGCCTCTGATGTGAGCATGTAAACATCCACCTTCTCTGCTCTGGCCTTCACCCACCTGCGTGCCAAGAGGGCCGACGGACAGGGGAGACATAAACAGTTTTAGTGTATTTGTTTTCGTGCGAGGAAAAGTGGCACGCTGCCTTTTCACGTTACACATCCGTTTTTGTTTTTTTCTTTTTTCTTAATATGCCATGGGGAGCTATTAGAAAAAGAAAATAAAAGCTAAAAGCAATTTGACTCAATCGTTGTGTTTATGACTGAGTCAAATTGCTTTGCAAGTCACTCAGGCTCTCTGAGCTGAATGTGGAGCCTAAATGAGACAAATAGATACTTAATAGAGCGATAAAACTCACTCTGTGTTGGATTCAAACATTTACAATTGTTGGTGCTGGTGTAATTCTGGGTGACAGCTTCGGCTTATGCGTTGGACCCCGGGCCCTGGCTCCCACAGTGTGTTTGGACAAACAAATTATCTGTTATTTATGTGGTGAATTGCATGATGGGTTTTGAAATGAGCTGCAAAGAGGCTGATTTGAGCCTGTCTACTATCATTTTCACGTCACAGTTTGGGCTTATATTCACCCCAAAACTTTCCACAGGCATTTTTTTTTTCTTTAATATCTTTTAAAAACGCCTACACGCACAATCGCTGTAATGTATTCCCCATGGCGGACTTTGCCGTGGGGAAGACTGGAAGAAGTGACGGTGCTGTTCGATCTGTGTCACCAGTGTGGTGGTCAGAAGGATCTTTGAGAAGGATAGAATTTGAACCGGCAACCCACTGGTTACTGGATGAACCCCCCACCTCCTGAGCCACTGCGACCCCATAAAATAAAATCACTGCAACCTGAAAATAAGTGTAAACAGCACATTCAAAGTGTCTGACGCAGCCAACAGAAAATAGAAAAATTCCCATGCATAAAAGGTGTGTTTGTGTGTCTATTTCTGCCCGACTTCTCAAACAACCGTCTCTGCAGTCTACTTTCTGTAACTCAAGACGCATTGATCTCTGGCTGCATTGCAGAGTCAGTTACTTTGTCCATAGGATGTGCCTGAGTGACCTCTTTGCATATTTGCTTTATATGCTCACTTGTGTCCAACACCGCATACGAATGAAGCCTCAAAGAAATACTGAAAATGACCAGAGATAGGCAGCTCTATATGGGCTTTCATGTAGAGCTGTCTGTCCTGCTGACATTTGGCTCAGTTGATTGATAGGTTTGGATATGACCTCCATTTACCCTTTGAGTGTCTGCTGAGAGCGCTCCTGTTAAGTGCAAAGGTGGAGAAGAAAGTTTCTATCTCCTCCCAGGTCTCTGACCGTTTTTCAAGTAACCTTGTTGATTTCACTCTCTGACAGACAGTAGGTCATTCATTTCAAACATCAGCTTTGAAATGATGATAATTTTGACTCCCTTATCGATATGGAATATCTACCCTCAATATCAACGGTGCAAGAAAACACATCGCTGTTCTACTTATAGGATCCTGTTGGATTCGACTCCCTGCTGGGCCAGGTTGCCATTGAATCTTTATGGAATTGGATTCAGTTCCTCATTAAGTCAGGTTATCTCTATTTGGTCACATGGCGGTCTTTTCTGAATTTATTACACATATGTAAAAACACATGTAAACCAAAACTAAGAACATGCTATCAGAGGAATAAATATCTTCTCACATCCTTCGCTCCAAAACGCAACACTATGCCATCATAACTGGCTGATACTTTATAGCTTTGGTGGGACGTAATATTTCAGAAAGCATGCTTATTTTCTTAGACCCATCTCTGTTTAGCCCACAATTTCTCAGCCTGTAAAGTTTCAGGTAATAATGTGTCTTTTAATAAACCATGGAGATCATAAAATGTGTATGCTTGCTATCTAGAATCCATGAAGTGTGCACATTCAGGGGAAAAAGGCTTATGCCTTGTTTTGATGTGTACGCATTGCTTATGAAAGCCCTTGCTTTGATAAATAGTCCTGTGAGTCTCCGCCTTTCTGTAACATCTCTGCTCGTGCCTCTGCGATTCATTGGGAAATTCGTCACCGATTGTTTTTTTAGATTAATTTATCTTCCATGCGAAGACCCAAACACATAGATTTCTCACACGGTAAACTCATCAATCCTTTGTGTTTGTGCGTCTCACAAAGGTTCTGCCATGTGTGAGTTTTGTCTCTTAAGAATAATGAGTTTAGCTGACTGTGCTAATGGTCCGTGATGTTCACGAGTAATTAGTTTGAGCTCATCAGGCAGGTTTGAGATGGATCAGGTGACATTTATTATTGTTTTATGAATAGTTGAGGGGTGCTGCTGGGTGAAAGTGCCAGCATCTTCCTGAACAGAATAAGAATAAAGAGGCTGCAGTTGTACAAGGTCAAAAAAAAGACTATTTTTATATTGTGTAGATGTGCTTAAAGGTATTTCTCACGGTAAATATTGTGAAAAATAAAACTACTGTTTTTGTCCAAGTGCAAATGATCAACAGTAAACACTTTTTAACAGTTGACACAAAGAAAATCAATGTTTTAATTTCTATAGATGCTTGCCAAGGGCATAATGGTCAGAAAATGTGTTTTAGGTGATAACCTAAAACACCTAAAGTGACCAAATATCAAGGTATTTACACATAAAGTACATTTACATTCTGCACTGTTTTATTTCAATGCCGAAGTTCCTTTTGAAAAAAAATCATTTGGAAATATGCTTTGTATGAAACAGTGAGGATTTCAGTATTTATTGTAGATTTACAGCAAGATGGTACTAAGCCAAAATCACACCACATGCTAGAATTTTAGGCTTTTTCTTCACTGCGATCTCCAACAGAATATATTACATCTCTTTCAAAGGGCTTCTGTTCCTCCAGGGACAAATCCTTTGGAAGAAACAGGAACAAATTCTCACCTCCTGTCACCAATAATGGATTATGCTCTGTTTGTACAGGGCTTGTTTGGCTGGTGGGCTCCAGACAGTTTGTGTTCTTTTCCTAAAAGCTGCAATACCCTCTGAAAAAAGTAGATTAACACATAAGCAATACTTAATTTGTCATTATCAATGTAGTCTTCCCTAATTAACGTGGCAGAAAATCAATTTTTCTTCTTTTAGTCTTCCATCTATCCATTTGAAAGTTATATTTTAAAAAAATTGCCACACCTTCTTTTTGTTTCACGTGTCTTTGAAATATTTAACAGTGTTATGTAGTAGTTTATGCGACTTATACAGACGACAAATTATGTATAAAGCAGAAATGACAATGAGCAGCAACATCAGCTGGATTGAAGCAAATGAAAGCAGCTGGTATTTCAGTGACCTCCCATTTTTCGCCTTCTCTACAGAACATAGTGAAGCCCACTTTCTTCTCGGCCATATTGAAATGACTCCAAACATGTTATATTCTAAAACAGCTTAAAATCTACAGGTGATGTATATTGTTTTGCTTTCACCTTTTTCTGTTAAAAGTGTCTTTTTTGTTTTGTTGTTTTTTTTTTTTTTTACTGAGCACTCTTTTAGAGCCCTTATCCATCTTTATTCATGCACCGTGTTTAAATTTAGGCCTGACGTTCTGAGGTCACATATGACACAACAGGCTTGCGTTGAACTCTCCTCCGTCATGCTGTGACCTACAGAGCTGCGCAGTAAATCAGTTTTGTCAGCCAGCCAGCCATAAGCTCAGGTTGGGGAACGTTGGTCTTGCTTTTTCTTTTGTTTTTTTCTACAGTAGTGTTCAGGAGCAAATAATAAACCTCAGTAATCGATCTGTTTTTTTCTTTGTTGTTTTTTTTTTCCCCCCCATCTTTCTTGCAGTCTCAGCAGAAGTGCATTGTGATATTTGCCTTGGTGTGCTGCTTCGCTGTGCTTATGGCGTTGATTTTCTCGGCAGTGGATATCTGGGGAGAAGATGAAGAAACGGAGGAAGAGTGTTCCAGTAACTGCAGGTGAGATCTGCTGAAGCAGAGGTTCCCTGTGACACTTCTGCTCTGATACCTGAAGCCAGTGATCAGTTAGTGGAGTCGCCAAAAAGGGGTATACACATTTAAATACATAAGTATTGATTTATACCAATTTTTGGTTCAAATCCCGGCACAGGGTCTTTGCATGTTCTCATGACTGCGAGGTTACTTGGTCTTTATAAACTGTCCTTAGCTGTGAGTGTATGTGCATTGTTGTAGTGAACCCATATTTTACTAGCCACCATTTTCAAATAATAAAATGAGTAAAACTGAACAACATCTTTACAAAATGACCAATTTATTGATCAAATAAACTGTATCATAGAGCATTTTTCCACAGAATCAAGTTTAACGCAAAGTGCTTCACGGAGGTTAAAAGCGCAAATGCAGACATTAATTTTGCTAATTCACAGATGGTCAGTTCATACATAAACAAAAAATACTTAGTGCTCTCACAGACCAATAGCATCACAGTCCTGATGAAGCTGATCGCTGTGAATTTCACACCCTTCATCCCAATAAACACGTGGTATTCAAACTGGAAGCACGTCAATATCGACACAACTTCACTAAACAAGAGCGAGAATCTGCTTTACCCCCTCAGTTTTAGACTTGCTCAATAACTTGCTATTTTCCTCTAAAACAACAAAAAATATATATACTAAATCCTAGAAGGTTGCATGAAAACCATCACGATGATGTTTGACATAAACATTTTTCACATTGAAATCTGACAGTCACTGTTGAATAAATGATAAATATCATCTACTAACCACAAAACTCTACTCTCTCTGGGATGAGACCTTGAGTAATATTAAGATAAGAGACTGAAAGGCTGAATTAAATCACCCTCCTAAGTGGGTGATTATAGGTCATTGACTAAATCTTTTGCTGTGAAATAATCTAAGAAAGTCTTTTGTGCTGAGCTTGAGTCTATTGTTTATGACATAATAATAAAACAGGAGAAATCTGTAAGGTGGTGAATATTTTTTTCACCGCACTGCAGGCACCCCATACCACGCTGAGCTATGTGTGTTTTACAGGCACTACTACTGCAATGATCACATGACATGTTAACAAATGCAGTTTATTTTGCAGTCGGTGAAATAATGTCGGTGACATGAGCTCTCCGATGTGGCACAACACTAAAACGTGTCGAAAGCATTTCATTGTTCAGAAATAGAGTCCCTGAAAAAAGACCAACGTTCAGTCAGATGTCTGTCATCTCTACCTGAATGCCAATTGCACAGTAATGAACTTTGTGCTATGACAGTGTACAAGACAATGAGTGTCAACTGCATTCAGTGACGTTAACAGATTTCAATAAGTTAGTGGCTGAATCAGATCGGGAGGAAATTCAGAATGCTTTTCTTCAGACTGTCTGATGTCACATTGGAAGTTCTTCCATCATTTCTTTGCGAAACAGTTTCTTTAATCATTGGTTCACAGTTGTTTTTGGATTGGAAACACAATTCTGTCTAAGTAATTGGCCATGCGGTAGATTCTTCAGTCTTGCTCTAAGCTGCTCCAAAAGTTGGAAAAAGAAAAAACTTTTTCAAAATTATAGAGTCGAAGCAAAATGTAAGAATATGAATCCCGAGACGAGAGGCCTAAAAACTACCTCAGTATGTCCTGGTGGTCCCGAGTGAAAGCGGCTAATCAGCAGGTGTTGAGCTGAAACAGCAGTTTTTATTTCCTCCTCCTGCACTTCCTGCTGGTTTTCCACCATTAGACCCTCAGCATTCAATTTAGCATCCCGCCTCAGATTGCTTCTCCCTCTCTCTCCTTCACCCCTCATGTCTGTGGCCGTCAATTCTCCCCTTCTTCTTCGCTTCCTCAAATCAACCATTAGCATCCTTTCAGGGAACTCAACCAGGCATCCTTCTCCCTCCACTTGAGGCTGAAAGCGAAATCCCAACTTGTGAAGCTGAATGAATTTTTCTTGTCCACTGAAGCATCCCCTTGGGTCACGCTGAGCGATACGGATGAGGTTGAAGAAGGGCGAACCAGATGGAGGGAGACGAGGCTGCTGAATAGATTCATCAGCCTTTATTGGCTCGCAGTCAGGGATGACAGGGGTCTCGTTCGTTCAAGAACACTCAAAGGAAGTTCCAGAAATCTGTGCTGTAATACTTCCACGTGAGCCCTGCTACTCACATGGTTAATGGTAATGTTTTCAGTGAAACTGAAACAAAGAACTAATAGGCATTGAATCAATACAGACCAGCAGTAAAGCGCTTCATTAAAGCAAACATGTGACTCAACTGAATGATTAATTTGATTTCCTCTGAATAATCTAAAAATGGCAGACCTTCGACTCTTGCTCTGTTCCTGCTAATGTGCTTTTGTCATCGAAAAAGCTTTGTGAAGCCTCACAACCAATGACTTAGGAGTTAGATTTCCTTTGTGTTCTGTTGCGGTGAGATGAGTTGCCAGTAGTAGTAGGCCTTCAGTGGAATGAAATTACACAATTTCATCAGAACATTTCTCATTCTATAATAAATTCAGTTTTATTTATATGGCACCAATTTATAAGAAGCGTCGTCCCAAGCCTCTTTACGGGGAAAAAAAAATTATTTCAATTGAATCACACATGAATTCTAATTATTCCCACTTATCAAACAGTACAGTAAAGTCAATTTATTACTCAAAGTAGTTTAGAAAGTGAAGGTTAATTAACCTAATTAATTTCTTAAAGGGACAGTATTAGGAAAAATTGAATTTATTTAACTTTATATCATGCTATAGCATTATTCCCCCATTAAAACCATACCTTTTATCCATCCATCCATCCATCCATCCATCCATCCATCCATCCATCCATCCATCCATCCATCCATCCATCCATCCATCCATCCATCCATCCATCCATCCATCTATTTTCTAACACCCTGAGCTCATTATAAAAGCTCCTTCTCACCCCAACTCTGGTAAAAATGTTATAAATAATATTTTAATAACAACTGAAGTTTCTTGATTGGGTTATAAATTGGCAAAAGCATAATACTGCCCTTTTAGGCTTTTAAGTTGATGAAAATAACGTGAAAGTAGCTAATCTTATATTTATATTTATATGTCCCTGTTCTTGGCCCAAGGTTTACCTGACATCTGTTCTAATAGCACAAACTCAACCTTAGGTAATAAAACCCAGGTGAACAGGTTTTCCCTGCATCCATAACTCCAATCAACATTGATATAAATGCCATGAATTACTTAAACTCCACATTTTTGTTTTCTGCAAAACAGATGTGGCATTGGCATTTCTATTAACTTGTTCAAAATGAGTAAAATATTTGATCATTAGCCAAAATGCATGTACCACATGTTTGATTTTTACACTGAGTGCTACATGCTCGATATGGAAGCACATTTGCTCTGAAAGTGTGTCATATTGTGAAACAATATCCCGGTTGTTTCATTTAAAGAAAGGAACGTTTTTTTTTCGTTCGGTCACATTCTGGCTCTCCTCCTGTTTGACTGTTTCTGCACACAAATGCAGCATGAAGTTTACCCAACTGCTTTGTTTGCTGCTGGGGCTGAATGGCACCCATGACTGCACAGATGGGTTACAGAGGAGGGAACCAGCCACAGACAGCGCGGACTGTATAAATCAATGAATCTTCTGCCAGGATAAACAACCTCTGCCTCCCCGCTTTGTCTGATTTTCATACAGAATCCTGTCTGGATGTTTGAGCCAGTCACAATCACTATTCATCATACCTCTAAGCCATTAGAGAAGACTCAGTGCATTTGTTTCTCAATAGGATTATGCCTTCCTCCACTTGCTCTCCATCCATCCTGGTTTTCAATCATTGCAGCGCATGCATTGCAGCTGCCCAGGCCTGTTTGTGTCTTCACAATTTGAGGTACGGTTGCTAGAAACCGCTTTTCATTTCATGGACTTTAGAGTTAAAGAAATCAAACCTTACAGAATCTATTGGCCAGTTTCACATTGTTGCCATTTCTTCGCTGAACTTATTGACCACCATTTCCATAAGGACATATTAGAGGTGTTATTATTAGACAGTATGTGAGTCAAACAGTTTGACCCTTGGCCAGCTTCCACAGACTGACTCGGCTCTACTTTAGCCAGGAATACATTTGGGAGCGGAGAGCTGGCAACTGGCCTCTCAGTTTGATTCCACTACATTATCACCTAAAACACATTTTCTGACCATTATGCCCTTGAGTCATGTTCTGGTTATGTAAAAAAAATAAAAAGAGATGCCACTTCTTGCCTGGTACAGTCTGGTCCCCAAAATAATGTCAGGGCTCAAAAAGGGGGATCAAAATGTCACAGGGACAGGCGTGAAATTAATCTAAATAAACAGAAACCCAAGGAACAAGTAAACCCACTGGACCAAATTTGACCACCTGCAAACTAACCCAACCAAACCCCGGCAACAAACGAACAAAGCCAGCTAAATCGACTGAATCAATACAGTGCGTGTGAAGTCTTGTCTCTTCTGCAATCTTTAATTGCAGCTTGAGAAAATGTCACAGTTTCAGCAGGAGTGACTGTAGTTTTGTGGATGAAGACATAAAAGGGAGAGCAGAAGAAAACAGATTCAAAGGATAGCCTCAAAATTTGAAAGTGCAGACTTATCTGAAAAGACGTCCAGACTTTTATTCGCTTCTATCCATAAAGAGCTTCATGACTAAGAGAAATGCATCTTGAACATTTGTTTATCTAATACAAATACTGGTGATGAAATACATTTACTGTAACCAAACAAGCAAGCAATATGGACAAAGTGTACTCTCCTTCTCTAACTGCAGGACATTGATTTACAATCCAATCAATGTAAATGGATCAACAGATCAATCAACAACATCTAAAGAAGAACAAAGTGAGACTCAACAGCATTTGATTATACAAATAGCAAGGGAGCATACTAAATGGAAAGGATGAAGGTGAGAATAACATAGATGGCAAGAAAAAACTGAACCAAATGAGTATAAATATCTCATGTGTGCACAGTGGGTTACAGAGCTGCACCAAATATTGATGCTGTTTGTGTGAGTTCAGAATGAACCCAGTTCTCAAATCTAATTTGGCTGCATGCAATAAATTTGTGACAGCAGCCTAGCTCAATAGTGAGCCCTCTGCTAATCCAGGCTGTAAACATTGTGACACAGTGTCTGGATATTAGCAGCATCATTTTGTAGTTAACCAAATTAACCTTTGAGTCATACTGACAGCCAAACCAGCCATGCCCCGATTGTTTATTTGATTAGATTTAAAAACTGTAATGAGAGTTGCAAACCAATTATCATTAAGTTACACTTTTCAGTTCCGGCCATTCTCTCGTCACTGAACTGGTTTCCTTGTCAGAAGTGGTTATGAAAGAGTCTTGGAAAGCATTTTGTCCGGTTGCTTGATCAACCAAGAAGCTGTAAAGCTGTTCACCCACACAAAACAGCTGCTTGCTTGTCTATTTTTTTTCTCTAAAGATTTGGCTGTCCAAAATTGTTGTTTAATCCCGATGGTAAGCCAGCATCTGTTTCTGAATAGTGCTGAGCTTGAAAATGGCAACAGAAATAGGTTTCTCATTCCTATTCTCTTTTGTTGATTTAATTTCATAGAACTTTGTGAAACATAGGAAAAATTTTTGACTAATGAACATTAAGGCTTAAACATCAATCATGAATCCACTTTCCCCATCATTTGACATTTATATTTAGGCTAGTGCTGATCATAAGGTCCACTACATTTCTGCAGAGAATCTAACAGAGCGTGTTGGCCTGTGATGTATTTCACACAATCTAGTGAATCAAACACGCAGCTGACACATGGAAAATCTTAATGAACCTCAGTATATTTCCTCAACGCGCACATGGCTACTGTTCTTCTCCAAACCGCTGATGATTACTCTAAAATAGATGTTCTGTGAATCCATATATCAAAATATCAATAAAACCAATACTAAGGCTTTATGAGTATTGGATCAAAACGAGCACGGTAAGATCAATACCTGGTGAAGCGTTATTTCGTTTTTCTGTTGTAGCTCCTCAAATCTACCTCAAAAAAGATTTTGTTTTGATTTGCTCTCAGATCATTTTTCTTGGGAAAATGAACAAAGTAGTTTGAAAATTACGTCAGTATCCGACTGGTATCGGCAATGCAATGCTCACATATGCTCTAAAATATATCATGTGGCAGGAAACACATTTAGAAATCAGGGTACAATTATTGCTCCAAAACCATACATCAACAGTGCTGTGAAATATTTTGCCCAGCTAGCAATTTCCTGCGGCTGTCTTTTTGCAATGTAGACAGACAGACAGATATAAAATCCCTAACGTTAATATGAAGTGAGCAGCAGAGATGCAGCAAGAATATTACACCTCAAATGAATCCATTTTCCTGAAAAAGCAGAAATGAAGCTGGCATTGCGCTCATCTCATCAGTCCACTGCTGTTCCCGATATTTGCTAGAGGCGATCTGCAAAATTTAATAATGTTTAACGGAATCTGGGGGCATGTGTGTGGAAAAATTGGATTTCACTCATTAAGCAAATGATCCAGAGACGAAGGGAGAAGAGCGCCGTTAACTAATTTGCCTTTGGTTGAAGGTAAAAAAAAATTAAAAAATCTTATTTCATTAGCAGTGTGTATAATTCTGCCACGAAGGTAAACGGGTAATTGCGCTTTGAAAGACTAATGAACATTAAGGCTTAAATTTCATTAATTCTGGCTGAAATTGACACACTGTAATAAACATTCGAACTAGGTCAGTCAAGCAGTGAAATGAGGAGCAGCAGGGACAACTGTCAGCCATGAATCAGGGCCCATGACTAAAGACAAGTTAAGGACACGAAGATCCACAGGGCCAACACCTATTACACATGAAATGCACCAATAAACCACACTTGCAGTGAAACTAAGAGAAAAAAGACATTTATGATGCAAATCTGAGTCTCTGAGCCTGATTTTGCTCATACTTGAGGCAGTTTTGCTTTTACTATCTTTCTCCACAGCATCGTGGTTGTGGAGAACATCCCAGCGGACATGATGTTCTCAGACGACAGCGCCTCCCACCTACCTCTCTCCACGGGGCTCAACAGCTTACTGGACAAAGCTCGAGTCGCTGTGGAGATTGTTTCCCCCGTGTGGTTCCTCGGCCCCTCTGATTACGAGTCCAGCTTCTACCCTGCTGCTGGGCAGGTAAAACAAGACAAGCTGTCAGACACTTTACACCGCGCAGGTTGTGATGCTCATTGATATATATATTGTCTGTTTTATATTTCCCTGCTCATGTTTCAGTTTTTGGTTTCAGTGCAACAGCAAAGCCCTCAAAAAGTAAAAGAAGAGAACAAAACAAAACAATGTTTTATGACAACTTTTTTCACATTAACTTTGTGGATCCTTGCAATTATATTCAAAAAGATGCAGCCAACAAAAGATGCTGAAATGATTACGGATTTTGAATTAATCCAGTGAGCAAAACAGCAAGATGATAGATTTGTGTTTTGACAGCATCTTAGTGAGCATCATCTTTCAGCACAAAGTAAAGCTTCGCCAGTAGAGAGATGTCGTTTCGCTGCTGTTCTCAAAATGACCTGTCGTCTTATAAGATAAATGTGATCCATCACGACGTTCTTCGTGTGCTGTAGGTACACGCTTTGTAGTTTTAAAATAGACTTTTTGCTTTGCAAGTGGATCTCTAGCACTAATAACCGTGACTTTCACTGGAAGCAGAAATCAAAAACATCACAGACACTGCAGCTCTCTAAACAGCATTAATAACATAAGTTCAGGAAGTGAACTGTCTCATTAGGACACTCAGCTCAGGGTCTGTTGGGTTGTTTCAGGGCAGGGCTCTGCTGTCCAGGCTGCAGGGACTGAAAGACAAAGGAATCCAGCTGAAGATCTCCACAGGAGACTTCGACTCAGCAGAGCTGAAGACGCTCGCAGACAATCACGGTGAGCTCGACCCTTCTGCTCTCTATGTTTCACCTGCTTTTAGCTAAATACGAGACCTGTTGGCTCTCCATGTTTAAATCTGTCAGAAATTAAATGTCCTGGACATGTTTCTCAGTTAGTCTCTTGCTTTGTCGTTCATGTCATAAATAACCACTCCTGTCTTTCATTGGCTTAAGCGTGGACTTTTACTTATTTTATTTTTCTTTTCCTCCCAAATTTGCAGACGCCGAGGTTCATGAGGTGAACATGACGGCCCTGACCAAAGGCTTCCTCAAGTCGTCTTTCTGGGTCGTCGACCGGAAGCATTTCTACATCGGCAGCGCCGGCATGGACTGGAGATCTCTGACCACCGTAATGTAGACCTGCCTCAGAGTACATCATGAGCAAAAACGGAAATATTACGATGGAAAGTGTGGAGGGAAATAATCAGAATATTGCAAAAAAGGAGGCAAAACAAGTGTGTGTTAAGCATCATTTATTCACGTGGTGCTTTGATAAAAAAAAAAAAAAAAACAGAAAACAGATGAGAAAAAAAGTTCTGGAATAACTAGAAGAAATAAACACAATAAACTGGAATCACTGAGAAGGACTGAAGTAAAGTAAAACAGAAACTAGGCTGATGTAATCAAATAAAGAGACTAAGGAACAAAGAATAACAATGACATTTGAATCAATGAGCCAAACCCCAGAACAACCCAAGATGCTGACACGGAGGACTCAATAATTACGAGAGCTGCTTGTAGTCTTCCTAGTTTCAGTTGTTTTGGTTTGTTTTTTCTTGCTGAACCATAATTTACACAAAAAAATACAACAATAACAAATAAATAGCTACATATATTTTCAATGAGTTGGATTACTGTTGAAAACTCCATGCATTTCTGGAACTTTATTCACAAAGTGAAAAGAAAACAACAAAGCGTAAGACAGCAAAGACAAGAATCCGACGGGGAAACACAGACACTGGTGGGATTAAATACGCAAAATGGAATCAGGGAGCATGCAGTCAAGGGCCGAAAGGCCAAATCCTCACAGATTAGTATTTCCCAGCCTTCTTTCCTGTTAATTATGATGATTTTCTGTTTATAGTACTCAAAATATTACATTTTTGTATTAGAATATTACATCATTCCACTAAAAGAAAACATTTATAAGAGAGAAATATGGGTTTACTGAAAGGTAATTATTTTTTTAAGGTACTGTTAATCTGACAAATGAGCCTCATCAGAATTTTTTTTATTTTTTGAATATTACTGTAGTTGATCTTGTTTGTGTGTCTAATTGTGTTCTTCTTGTTCTGCAGAGAAAGGAGCTTGGTGTGGTGGTGTACGACTGCAAACCTCTGGCCCTGGACCTGCACAAGGTTTTTAGCCTCTACTGGGGGCTTCAGTATAAAACCTCCATCCCCACCTTTTGGTCCAAGCGTCTGTTTCCCTTCTTTAGCAGAGAGAAACCTGGAAGTCTCTTGGTTAACCAAACAAAAGTTGAAACCTACATCTCCGTAAGTTAAAGAGTATCAGGTTTTTTTTGTTTTTTTGTTTTCTTTTTAAGAGACACCTGTTGGTTTGTTTCCCACAAAGAATGATAGTTTTAGATGTAGGATTAAGAATGTATTTATGAAATATAAATTTGTTCAAGATATGAAGACACTGTATTGTTTATTGTTATGTTTTGTGTTGCTGAGAAAAAAACTGGTAGAATAACAACTTTAATAAATGTACCAAATTCTCTTCTACTTGGAGTACCTTTAGCTGGAGCTGTTAAAAATGCTAACCAGGAAAAAAACATTTTCTTTTCATTTCACAATAATTCATTCATTTGTGATAGTCTATTGGATCTCAATTAAATACCTTGGCTTTTATGATTACAATCTGAGTATATGTTCAATATATGCAACAAAAGAATAACTTTACAACAGCATCTAATATTGAAGAATTGTCATTTATGGCTACAACCACACATATGAGTCAGTATTTTCTTTCCCCCATGTTATAATTAGGCTGGCACTGATGTAAATTTCAAACTGAAATGGCCTTTGTTCATTACCATTATATTAGAAGCATTACCCTTCAAAGGATTTCTGCTCATCATCAAGATCCTTGTTCTAGTCTCTTTGGTAATAAACTATTTACACAATGCTCTGATGTCATCTTCAGAGTACAGCACACAGTCAGCAGTTGTGTATTCCCAGTCCAGCAGTCGTAACGCGTCCTAACTGTATTTGCATTCTGCTTCTTCCCTGTTGACAGAGCTCACCAGATGTTCTTATCACTAAGGATCGCAGCAGCGATCTGAAAGCAATCTCCGCAGTCATCCAACAGGCCCGCCATTTCATTTACATCTCCACTATTGATTACCTGCCCCTCCTCAACATGCAACGGTTAGAGCCCGTCTGCCACTCTATGCTGTTTTTGGCAAGGATTGACCATTAATAACTTGAATGCATTGCTTTGACCTACGTGATTTATCATCCTCTGCGCTTCTCTGTGTGTCTGTCTAGCTCAATGCATGTGGATTTCTCTGCACCAGAGCCAAGATACTGGTCTCGTATCGACGGCCTTTTAAGAGAGGCGCTGATCTTGAGGAAGGTTCACGTCCGTCTGCTGATAAGTTGCTGGGAAGAAACTCATCCTCTTACTTTTAACTTCATCTGGTCCCTGAAGAGCCTTTGTATGGAGCAGGCCAACTGTTCCCTGGAAGCTGTGAGTGCAACATCACTCTGTACTATTTTCAGCTCCTGTATATGCGCTGTACCCTCACTGTACAATTGTGTGCCTCTGTTTGTGTGTGTAGAAGTTCTTCAACGTGCAGAGGGACAGCGGTCTCAGTGGAATGAATCATAATAGATTTATGGTTACAGACAAAGCCGTTTATATAGGTAAGCTCATCTGCAGAGTTACGGCACTACTGTTTCAACTCTTCACTTACTGCATGTGACAACAGAGTCTGTAAGCATTTTTATTTCAAGCACTTTATGATTCATTTTTACCAAGATCTATATTTTTGTTAAAAATTTTAGTAAATTCCCAAACTCCAAAGCACCAAATGTCTTCTCCCAATCATCTGGGAGAAGGCCTTTTTCTTCTGGAAGCATATCTATTGTTATCATCCCATTTGGACACTTGTAGAAGATTGAAAGTTCATTCCCATGTGGTTTAAAAGTTTTACAAGCCCCTCACGTCACTGAAAGGTCGCCTATCTGGTTTTCATACAGTGGAAAACTGTGAATTTTACACCACTGCTCTCAAAACATAAGTTTGTTTGTTTTTTAATTTTTTTTAACACAAGCATTCATGACATGAAATGAAGTTTTACATATAATCTTTCTTAGTACCTTTGTGAACACTTACAGCTACGTTCCAAAATTAAATATGTTTTTTAGAGGACAATCAGTAACCATTTATTGAAACCATTGTGTAAGAACTCTGTGTGCGTCAGACAGGCACTAATTCAGATCTCTCATCAATTGAATCTTCCTCTGTTAGAAGGAATAGGCAACTCCGCAGATGCAGCTTCGAAGGTTTATTGTAGACTGACAAGCATCGATGAATATGGGATGAAAGGTGGTACAGTAGATGAGTTTATGTATGTGTATGTGGGTGTGTGTGGTTATCTGAAACAGAAAAACAATAAAGTTACATTAATAACTATGCGAGTAAGAACGGCTACACATAGGTATACGACAAAGAATGGTATGCAGCACCACACAACTCCTCCAGAGGGCACTACAATACCATCGGTAAAATGTAAGCACACTAATGACAAAACTGTCAGAAATACAAGTTAGTGTTAAATACTTTTACGTAATAATAATAATACAATAATATATATGTGACATATATATAACCGAGTATAGCACAACCTGAACTATTACAGATAATTTCCTGTACCGTCGGCAGCCAAACACGAGGATGTCCCCACCTCCTGTGCTAACAATCGACATAAACACCAATATCGTATATGAAACGGCACACTTACATCATATAGAACGCACACAGGTTTTACACAAACAGGATAAAAAGGGATTGATGGTGGATGTCACCCGCAGACGCCACTCCTTACAACAGTAACACAGGAACATGAGATCAAAAAACTAGCCCAGCTATGTGCAACGATAACAAGCAAAGGAAACACAGATGCACCATGGGTAATGTAGTTGTACCAGAACGGACAGACTTTTAACAGCCGCCCCTGTATTTGTAAGCAAATACACACATGCAAAGGCTGTCAGTTCGAAGGAGGATCCGAATCTGCAGGCACTTCCGGAAGCTCCACCAGTTTGGTTACCGGTCGGATGTAGAAACTGTCCTTGACCTTCACCTCGGCAGCTCGAACTACACCATCCGTCCCAGGGAAAACTTTAGTGATGATTCCAACAGGCCAGAGTCCACGGGGAAGATTGGAATCGACAATCATTACTATTTGTCCCACAGTGGTATTGCCTGTAGATGTCCTCCATTTCTGTCTCAAATGAAGTCCTGGAAGGTAGTTCTGGATGAAACGTTTCCAGAAATGGTCGCTGATAACCTGACTATGTTGCCATCTCCTTTTAGATAGGGCATCATGAGGACCATATACTACTTGTGGTAGTCCTGCGTCTCGCCGCCCCATTAGTAGAAGGTTTGGCGTGATGGGATCCGGGTCCGCCACATCAGAGGATGCATAACCGAGAGGTTTAGAATTAAGAACGCCTTCAACCTCTATGAGAGCTGTTAGAAGCACTTCCTCTGCCACAACTTGGTCCTTAAGGATAACTTGTAAAGCTGATTTGACTGACCTAATTTCTCTCTCCCAGGTGCCCCCGAAGTGAGGAGAATGTGGCGGGTTGAAGTTAAAGTGGATCATCTGTTCGGCTAACCGTTGTTGTAACACTGGGGCCATATTTTCAAAAGCGCTCTGAAGTTCTTTGTGGCCTCCCCTGAAGTTGGTGCCTCTGTCAGACCATAGCTCGTACGGTTTTCCTCGGCGAGCAATAACTGCGTAACGACATCAGGAAAGAGTTGGTGTCGAGGCTAGGGAGGAGATCCAAGTGAACACATCGAGTGGTCAGACATTTATAAATAATCCCCCATCGTTTCTCACTGCGACGTCCAATCTTAACTAGATACGGTCCAAAACAGTCTACACCTGTAGACCAAAATGGCGGTTTGTAGAGTCTCAGACGAGCTGATGGAAGGTCCGCCATCTTTGGTGTGGCAGGTGAAGCACGCCATCTCCTACAGTCCACACACTGATACTGGTGTTTTTTAATGGCCTGCCGACCTCTGAGAATCCAATAAGTGCGCCTTATCTCTGCATAGAGTCTCTCTGCACCCGGGTGAAACAGCTGAGCATCGTAGTGTTTTATAATGAGACGGGTCAATGGATGGTCAGGTGCTAACAAAATCGGATGGATGCTATCAGGGTCCATATCGATAGCTTGTCGTAGGCGGCCTCCAACTCTGATTAAGCCACTGATGCTGTCATATTCAGGGGAGAGAGCACTGAGCCGACTGCTTGAGGGCACAGCGTCACCTGCTTTAAGGGCTTGGACCTCTTCTGGGAAGCTATCCTTCTGTGCAGAGCGAAGCAGCTGATTCACTGCCTCTAGACGCTCAGCAGCAGTGAAGGATGTAGCAGCCGCCCCAGTCAGGGATTGGTGGGTGGCCAGAATCAGGTCCTCTAACGATGTGACCTGTGTAGGATCTGGTAGACTGTGAGATGTGGATGTGAAGCTACAGAAAGCAGTCTTTCTGAGTTCTTCACTGTCACAATTTGTAGACTCTGTTGGAGTTTTCGGCCAGGCGTCTGGAGTCTGTGTAAGGAAGTGGGGGCCTTGTGACCAGCGGCTGGAGATGGTGAGCTCTGACAGTGATTTCCCTCTTGTGATGTCATCAGCTGGATTTTCACTAGAGTTCACATATCCCCACTGCTCTGAGAGGGTCAACTCCTGTATTTCACAAATCCGAGTCCCAACAAAGACCTTGTATCTGCAGGAACTGGACTGGATCCACTTTAACACCGTTGTAGAATCTGTCCACAGATATACAGAGTGCAGAGGTAAAGAGAGTTCACTTTGGAGTACTTTGGCAAGTCGGGATCCTGTCAACGCAGCACACAGCTCTAGTCGGGGAATCGACACCTGTTTTCGAGGTGCAACTCTTGAGCGTGCCATAATGAAGGAGGTTGAGATATGTGCTTGTTGCTCTGTGACTCTCAAATAGGCAACGGCTCCATAGGACCTCTCAGAGGCGTCACAGAAGATATGAACCTCATTAGTAGCACCAGTGATGCTGTGAGAACTGTAGCAGCGGGGAATGATGATATGTTGGAGGTTAGACAGTTCTTCCTCCCATTCGACCCACGACTGAAGCAAATGTCCTTCTATGGGCTCATCCCATCCTCTTTCTGTATTCCACAGGGCCTGCACAATGAGCTTGGCTCTTGTGGTGTATGGACAGATATAACCCAATGGGTCATACTGACTGGCTAGCACCTTATAAATGTTGCGCAGTGTGACAGTTGTGTAGGACACCGAGCGATGCTTGTATCCCAGAACATCAGTTGGGCAGTGCCAGCTGAGACCCAAAGTCGATTCCTGCGGATCAAGACTCTTGAAGTTCAACCATAACTCACAACTTTCTGACCTAGCCGTGCTGGGCAGATGGGCAATCACCGCAGGGAGGTTGCTAGCCCACTGTCTTATCTCAAATCCACCTTGTAATAACAACTCTCTCATTCTGTCAATGAGCAGCTTAGCCTCTTGTGGGTCAGAAAGGGACTGCAGACAGTTGTCCACATAAAAGGCTGTATGGATGGATTCATAGATGTCCTTATGAGTGTCTTGGTGCTCCTTTACGTGTTTCTGAAGAGCAAACGTAGCACAGCAAGGGCTACATGTTGTCCCAAAGGGCAAAACTTTCCATTCATACACATCTGGGAACCTCTCAGTTTCACCATCTCTCCACAGGAACCGTAACAGGGGACAGTCTTCAGGGAGCAGGCGGATCTGGTGAAACATGGCCTTTATATCTCCACTCACTGCCACAGGATACTGACGGAAGCGGAGGAGTACGCCCAGTAGTGTAGGCCCCAGAGGAGGGCCTGGCAGGAGGTAGTTATTGAGGACGGTGCCCTGGAACTCAAATGAGCAATTAAAAACCACTCGTGCCTTATTGTTATGATGTACCATGTGGTGTGGTACGTACCAAGATTCAGTAGAATTGTTGATCTCTTCTGGAGTCAGCTTCGTCACGTAACCAGAATCAACCAACTTCTTGATCTCTTGGTTGTATGTACAGGCCAGGTCTGGATGTTTAGTCAGCTTCCGCTCTGTGGACCTCAGCAGACCTTTAACTGCTTCTAAAGGGGCGTGCATCTGAGGGAAGTCTTTCCTCCTCAGCAGAGGAGTGGCATATCTCTCCACGCCATTTACCGGAATCCTGATGGTCTTAGCCTCTAACATGGTTATGGCTTCTCTGTCCTCCTTTGAGCGTGTGACTTCCTTCTCATACCTATGTATGGGAGCATCCAGTTGCCACAGCCGTTGAACATTCTGATACAGGTCCTCAGCAGGAGAAAGGCATGATGTATGCAGGCAGTGCATGTCTCCCTGCTGTGTAGGCATACTACTACTTGGACCTTGGATGGCCCACCCCAGCTTAGTGCAGATAGCGACAGGCCCACGGGCTGGACCACGCCTGATGGGACGAACCGGCGTTATGAGGTGAGCATTGTCTGAACCGATTAGCACCAGAGGCTGTATCCGGTTGAATCCTTCCAGCTGCACTTGTTGTAGGTGATGATACCGCTTCTTCAAGAGCTCTACTGGACAGGACTGTTCAGCTAAGCTGAGCTGTTCTGCAGTAAAAGCATGTGTGATTTTGTAACGCCGTTTTGGTTGGGCCTTCGGAGACACCTGGAATGAGACGTAGCCTCCCTTTATCTGGATCACATCTTGACGGACGGTGCGCAGAGATAATGTTTCCTTCTCTGGTGTTAACCCTAACAACTTAATTGCAGCTGGGAGTATGATGGTTTTCTCTGAGCCGTCGTCGAGGAGAGCATACGTGTCTAGAGATGTCTTCTGATGGTGTAACTGAATGGGCACAACCTTGAGCATTACACGGCCAGAGTGACTGACAGGATCCAGATATACTCTACGAGTACTCACAGTTAGGATGTTAGGGTCCTGCCTTCTAGCTTCAGCCAGGTCATGAAGCACTAATAAGTGCTGTTCTCCACAGTTGGTGCAAAGCTTCTTCAGAGTGCACTGTTCCGGAGTGTGTTTACGGCCGCAGCGCCAGCATTTAGATTTATCCTTTAGCCAAGTGGCGACAGCTGTGAGGTCTAGCTTTTTAAAGTTCTCACAGCCACTGAGGTAATGCTCTGTTCCTTCACAGTATGGACAATATGGCTTAAACTTCTGTTTCTTCTTGGGAAGGGAAGAATGGCTCTCAGCTTCTACCTTAATGTCCGTCTTTGGCTGTGTTTGAGCAGGATCTGAGCCATAATATATGGATGCAGGCTTACTCGGTGCTTTAGGCCCTGTAGGCATTCTGAAGTTACTTCTCTCCAATCGTGGTCTATCCGATGACTGTGACTGAATGGCCTGCCTAGATAGCTGAAGAACTTGGGACTTCCGTTCAAGCCATTCAGAGAGATCGTACATGTTGTACGTGCGGCTGCTGCCAGTATGTATAATACCACGTGTGATACAGTACTCTATGAAACTGTCTCTGTAGCTAGGAGGGAGTTTGGTGAGTAACCTGTCTACATGTGAACCACACTGAAGCTCACCGGCTGCTACATCATCCATAGTACTGAGGAGACCTACTAGGCTAGACACTGCCAGGGAGAAGTCTTCAAAGGCTTGAGGGTCACCGACTTTCACCGGAGAGCAGTTAAGGATAGCGCTGAGTTCACTCTGGATTAACTGTCGAGGCTGTCCATATCTCTGCTCCAATGCTCGAATTGCACTAGTGTAGGGAGTACGGTCGTGAATATAGCGCCTGGCAACTTGTAGAGCACATGGATGCTCTAAGTGATCCAACAGGATGTGATATTTATAGTCCTCTGTGAGGTGTGCATGGGGCCCCAGTAAGCTGTCTAATCCTTTCTTTAACAAGGCAAATTCACTCTCTCTGCCTGATTTGAATGTAACCAGTCTAGGCTTTGGGATGCCGTATGATGTTGCCACAATCATCTCCATCAGGTTTGGCTGATTCACTTCTGCTGTCGACTGTAAGGGAGTTGTAGTTTGATATATATCTGGAGGTGATGAATATGTTACAGGATAATGGTGGGGAATGTCAGCAGATGGAGCTGCATAAAGCTGGCTGCAGTTCTGTTGTGCTGCCGCTCCCTGTAATGGCTGATACAGCGGTGTGGCAGAGGCTGCTGGGGGGTTATATGATGATGCAGCGTCTACTTGGTCAGCATGGCTTGGTAGTTGCTGATGATGGTATCTCTGCCTGTAGAGAGACTCAGCCTGATATGATTTGGGTTTCTTAATCTGCATGGATTGTGCTACTTGGATGTCAGGTTGTAGAACAGGCTGTATTACATGTCTCACTCTAGGCGGTGGAGCTGGCAACGATGCTTGCTGGATTTCTGGATGAACCGGAAGGCCTCTCGACTGTAGAACAGGTGAAGGTCCAGACCGACCTACTGGCTGGAAGGCTGTGTTCATCCAAGGCTGGGACGCAGGTGATGACTGCAACACATGCTGCAGTGCTGCAAGTTCATCTGGCTGTGGATCTAATGATGCAGCATCTTGTATTGGTCTCAGTAGGTTTACAGGTGTTCTGTTGTCCTGCCTTGCTGGTGTCACAACGCTCAACTGATCCCTAGCGTGATCCCTGGCGTCACTGCTATATGTGTTCACACCGCTAGGCTGTGATTGGAATGCAGGAAGGGATTCTGCTCGGTTATGTTGTTGAGTGTGACTGTGTGTCAAGAGAGGGCTGCATGACTTACATGTTCTCTCTAGTTGATCCACACGCCTGGATAATGCACCACTGGTCTCCTTCATGGTGATTTGCATCTGATTCATTGTTGCTAGAATGTTGCCCCATACTTCTTCCATTTTGTCCCATCGTTGCTTGTTATCCTTATCAGATTCTCCTGAGCTGCTGCTTGTTGACAACTCTGACTCCTCTGGATCAGATAGGTCATGTTCATACTCCGCCAGATGTCCAGGAAGCTTCCTGTTCCTACGTGGACGGGGACTATGCTGGTGACTTTTCTCCTCAGGAGTGTTGTCTGGTGATGTTGCCATGATGTTGATTCAACCAATGAAATATCCGGCTCGAAGGACCATTTGTAAGAACTCTGTGTGCGTCACAGGCACTAATTCAGATCTCTCATCAATTGAATCTTCCTCTGTTAGAAGGAATAGGCAACTCCGCAGATGCAGCTTCGAAGGTTTATTGTAGACTGACAAGCATCGATGAATATGGGATGAAAGGTGGTACAGTAGATGAGTTTATGTATGTGTATGTGGGTGTGTGTGGTTATCTGAAACAGAAAACAATAAAGTTACATTAATAACTATGCGAGTAAGAACGGCTACACATAGGTATACGACAAAGAATGGTATGCAGCACCACACAACTCCTCCAGAGGGCACTACAATACCATCGGTAAAATGTAAGCACACTAATGACAAAACTGTCAGAAATACAAGTTAGTGTTAAATACTTTTACGTAATAATAATAATACAATAATATATATGTGACATATATATAACGAGTATAGCACAACCTGAACTATTACAGATAATTTCCTGTACCGTCGGCAGCCAAACACGAGGATGTCCCCACCTCCTGTGCTAACAATCGACATAAACACCAATATCGTATATGAAACGGCACACTTACATCATATAGAACGCACACAGGTTTTACACAAACAGGATAAAAAGGGATTGATGGTGGATGTCACCCGCAGACGCCACTCCTTACAACAGTAACACAGGAACATGAGATAAAAAAACTAGCCCAGCTATGTGCAACGATAACAAGCAAAGGAAACACAGATGCACCATGGGTAATGTAGTTGTACCAGAACGGACAGACTTTTAACACATTGGATATCTAAAGTGTTTGACATAAATGCGGTGGACATCACAACCACAATATTGTTTATTATCTGATTCGATTGTTCTGAGTAAGGATTGTGGGTAAGTACTAGCCTTTGAGCAGTCAATCAGCCAACTGATTGTGTTTTTTTTTTTTTTCTCCAAATAGATTATCACTCTTCTTGGCTTTTGGTTTAGTCAAAATGAAACTGAGACATTACATATAATCCTGTTCAGTGCACTGGTGGACATGTGAAGTTTGTTTCCAATTAAAATGCATGCTAAAGAAGTCTGCTCAAATGAGTCAATAGTCCATAAAGCTCTCAGTAAATCATTATTACATATAACTGTGTCGGTATTTGCATCTTATTGCAAAATCAACCTTCTTCTTTCTCTGGTCTGTTTTCTGACAGGCAACCTTGACTGGGTGGGGAATGAGTTCACCTATAACGCAGGAGCAGGCCTTGTGATCAGTCATCCAGCAAACGTGACAGAGAGGAACTCCACAGTGGTGGAGCAGCTACAGGCTGTTTTCAAGCGGGACTGGTTTTCACGTTATGCCAACACAATACAGACTAATAAAATCCCAGTCTGCAGCAAGCAACAGATCAACAAGTCGGTGCTTTTTAAATCCAGCCACAGAAACTATGGACCCTTGCCAGGCCAACATGACACTGGACCTGCACCACTGAGAAACCATCCAAAAGCTGAGCGACCCACACCGGACAAAATAGCACACAGTGAAGACAGGCTGAAAAAAATCAACTCGCACAGCGTGGCCAGTGAACATGGGCCAGTGATGATCGACCACCAAGAGAGGGCTGGAATGAAAATCAAAATGAGTGACCTCGATGACGAGCGTGCACAAGTAAAAGATTGGGAGTTTAACATTTCAGAGGATCCGCCCAGCCGGTGGGCTGAAAGCAGCGGCTTCAGAGAGATCTCCAATGGATCTCTGTGACGTGTAAAGGCCGATTCTGTCACTGAACTTTTGTAGCATTTTAATATTGTCCTTTCTGAGTAAAAGATTTAAGCATATAAATCTGGCAGATATTCTCACATATCTTCGTGACATCCCGGGATGTCACGAAGGACATGGGTTGGATTCCACAGAGACATAAAACAAATATACTTGTCACATATTTAACCAATTCTCAGTCAAAGAATGTAAGTGAAGTTAAACCGATTGCCTGAATATGCACTATAAGATGTTTTTGGCAGTCATACCTTAATGCCCTTTACAAGGGGGAAAAAAACACCTGCATGCCTTTGCAGAGACAGGAAGAGGTGCACAATGTGCAGCTATAACAGCTATATCTATTTGGTAGCTCTCCAAAATAGATAAGCTTTATAATAATTGCCTTTTTTGTAAATACTTTTGTTAATATCCAGTAATACTTTTAGAGAGAACACATTTCTAACTAAAAAAAAAAAAACCCACATTGCTCCATTTATGGGAAAAAAAGACACTAATGTGGCTCTGCCCAGACAATGCTTTTAGTCCTCATAATGGAAATAACTCCATTAAATTGATTTTGAATACTGACCCAAAGCAAAGGAACTGAAGACCTAAAGGCTTTTTAAAAAAGGATATCCATCAGGGTTTAGTCGGTTGCAAGTTACTGGAAACCACATAAGACTGTATGCATCAAAGTGAATTGTAATACTGACACTGACACAGATTTAAATGATATAAGCATTTGCACAATTTTCTTGTTGCATTGCTACTACTGAAACCCTCTCACTATTCTCCCCCACCCCCAGACACCCCCTCACACGCACACACACACATACACACACACAAGAGATACAATTTGGTATTTCTCATTGTGGACAATGGTCTTTTACTTTGAAGGGCTCCCGACAAAGAAAAGTTACTCTTCTTTTATTCCGATATCCCAACCAAGCAGGAGGAATAGTGCATTTCTATTGTCTCTTCCCAAACACAGCATTGTAACCAGGGTGCACACAGAAAAAAAGGGGGGACACTTGGATCTCTGCTTTACACTGAATCAATGTGATTAATTTTTAACCAAGCTGACAGCTGAAGTAGCTGCTGTGGACCCTGAAGGACATGTTGGACTGTGACGTCATCCCTGAACCCTACCTGCCTTCTCTTTAACGTAGTCATAGCTGTGCTGTAGATTGCTAGGAAAGAAATACCACATAGCACTTGACTGAAAGCTAGTAGCAAATTTCATTTTTGCATTTTGAATATTAGCATGTAGCCTGTGTTTACACAAACCTCTAGCCACGCCTTTTGTGGTTAAGAACTATATGTAAAGTTTTTTTTTTTTTTTTTTTTTTTTTCTTACTCTAAAAGCCATTAATCAAACAAACAGAAAGGCATTATCTGCTGAAACTACAGTTAGACGTTTGGGCATCTTGTCTTTATTACGACTGAAATGAATTCATCCGTAATAAAGGTCTGTCTTTCAGCACCATGGAAAATACCAGTAAAAATTTAATTAAGCACAAACGCAAAGAAGTTTGTTGTAAACAGAAATAGAGGTCCACAGACAGGAATTTACAATGCCTTACAAACGTAATCACACATGTGCAAATGTGCAATGTGCAAGACGCTGTATAAGCATATATCTGGGTCAACCGCACTTTACTCTTTGCTGCGGAGACTTTTATTTGTTTCCCTTGTGTTTCTTTTGTCTGGAACACAAAAGGACCAATTAATCAGTAGCTCAATCAATCATGCAATAACATCACTTTTGAAGAAGAGAAATCAAGGGAATGTTTTGTAACCTTCACCTCACACTGACATCTAATGCCAAATCACTGATCTCAGTGGAAGATCAAACAAGCATGTGCCAAAAAAGTAAATAAAGGAAACACGCTTGACATGAATATCTTCTGCCACCTGGTGGACGATATTAAAAAAAAAAGTAAACTTTCTACATGTAGGACAAAATATTTGTCAAGTGTTTCATAATGTTTCACAGGATTCACACTTGCTGCTATATAAGTCACTAAAACACCCCTTTAATAAACAGTGGTTTTCAGTTCCCTATAGGGCTAATGCATGTCACTTAGGATACAACGTACAAACTGTCATGTCCGATTTCAGCAGAAGTTTGGTCTGAAAGTGTTCTGACGCCTGTCGTTTCATGTTATTAGATTTTAGCAGATGTAAATAAAAAAAAAAGTCACTTTACACCAACGATATGCTTAATTCTAACGTGTGTATGTACTTTCCATTTTGTTTAATGCATTGTTTCACACTGGACGTATATCTGGAATGCATTTGATAACATTGCAATTATGAGCTGATTGCGACATGTCTTGGCAAAAAAAATGCTGCTAATATACTCTGCCCATGTCTTTGTATGAAATAATACCTGCCCGTATGTTTCCCTCCTAGGAGGGACTATATGCATGATATTGGAGTTTGTTTTTACTTGGAAGAAGTGACATCGAACATGTCACTTGTCAAGGTTTGAAACCAGAAACGACTTTGCAAAAACCTTCATGACAAATTAAAGAAGGCCTGTTTCTGTATTACTTGCTAGGGATTATTTTGACTGATAAGATATGAGGATTTTTTATCCTCATATCTTAGCATGTAGCCTGTGTTTACACAGGCTACATCCTCAATCAAAAATCCAAACTTTTTGGATTTTTGATTTAAAGATATATCTTTATGATGTCAGGTGGTATGAAGGTGTTTGTGGAGCCACAAATTTCCAAATGAAGAAATGACTTTCATTTTAAAGCTAAAGCTTCTCAAAGTCGCCTACATTTATTCTGTTGTACCGGCATGACATTCTGCATGCACTGCCTTTATAAACTTTGCACAGTAAGCTATGAGCCTTCACAGAAGTTAAGTTAAAAGGGAACTCTAATATACCTTTAAAGATATGAATAGAATGTATATTTATGGAATATTATTGTAATGCACATTACTGCTTACCGGATTGGTTAGTTTTTACTCTTAATAAAAAAAATAAAAAATCCTATTATTGTTTGCGATTTATGTTTCTCTGCATTTATTCGTCAACAGGCACATCAATTCTGAAAATTATTGCATCAGGGTTCATTCTCACAAAAGCTAATGAATATATTTTGAGTTTAAAACATGTGCATCTGTTCGATACATTATATTGTCAGAAAATATACAAGGTCCCAGTCCTTTCTTGTAAGCCATCCATCTTTTTCAAATAACTAAGACAACCCATGCCCAAAACTAATACATATGGATTGGTTAAAAAGTAGCCAGTTTCTGGTAATCTATATTGTACAAAGAAAATCTTTAAGCGGAACAAACAAACAAAAAATCCTTTGTAAAATCAATTTCTAAAGCTGTACAATTTATTTCACTACAATCAGTTTTTGGCAGGTGAATGCTGGCAAACATTAAAGCAGACGAGTTGTAATTTACATGATTAATGTGCCTAAGCAAATTTTAAATATAAAAGTATCTATGTTTGCAAAATAAATGCTCAAGCTTTGTCAAAAAAAAAAGAAAGAAAAAAAAGTGTTATCAGATTAAAGCAAGAAAATAAATTTTAAAAAGTCAGTAAATAATTTCTTTATACTAGCAGACTATTCTTCATAGAATAGTCATGGTGCACATTTTAAATGAAATTAACAACATAAGACTTGTTTCCTTACAGTGTTGAGGAAACAAATTTAACAAACTGAACGTTGGAAGAGGATTTATCTGACCTCTAATATTGTCCCCGAAATTAGGGGACACTAAGCGCGAGGGCTATCAGGTCAGAGGTCGCACACCTGTCCTGACACCTTTTCCGAAAAGAGATGTTCAGGCCAAGGAGGTAACAGCGCCATCTGGTGTCTTAAAATCTAACGGTCTCAGAGCAGCGCACTGACGTAGCGGTTACCACAGCGACCGAGTTGGCGTCACCACTCTCTACTTTCAAATTCATGACTTCGCGTTTCTTCTCGAGGTTCCAGGCTGAAAACTCGCACGTCCTCGACGGAGTCATGACGACATGTCCGTGAGGAAGAGCTGCCTGTCCCTCTCTGTCCGTCTGTCGGGGCTGTGTACGTCCGAGTTGCCGCAGAGCTGGACCTGAGGGGTCGGAGTCATCGCCGCGTCCGTACGTTTGTCCCCCAGCGTCGGCCAACATGGCTGAGGATGACAGCGAGTGGATTATAGAGAGCATCGTCGGCTACCTGGGGAGTCCCGAGTGGGTTATCCCTGTCACGGACTTTATGGAACACAAATGTACAGGTGAAACCTAGCTCTCATGTTTCACTTCACTCGTATGTGGAGTCGAATGCTTTGTGAACTGCGAGGCGGCTAAGCTAACGCTAACTTGTGATTGTGGTTGCGTCGCCAGTTGTGTTTCTGGTCTCTCTGCACATCTTAAGATCTGACATGCATGCGCGCAGTCAAACTGAACGGCAAAGTGTTCCTCTCAGCCCCAAAGACGTCGTCTGATTTATACTTTCGTTCCAGTTTTCGACGACGAGGATGAACACAAGCTCTCGTACACAGAAATCCATCAGCAGTATAAGAAACTTGTGAGTATAAACTTCACCAGTTTCACTCATCCGTGCATTCACAGAAAACTGCTTCCTCGTCAGACAGGCCTGCTGAAAGCTGTCTTCGTTTCACTGTAGGTGGAGAAACTGCTGGAGAATTATATGCAGGAGGTTGGCATCGACGAGCAGCAGTTCCTGGATGCATGCACCTCTCCCTTTGCCAAGTCTCAATCTTTGCAGGTATTTTGAGCTTCCTCTGCACACCACCGGATCCCTGCCAGCTGACCTGAATGCACAGGCTGACTGCAAAGTCAAGGATGGGATTTGCTTATGTAACACATCTCTCCTCCTCATCCATCCTCAAGGAAATTTAGTTTGTCTGCCAAAGAAGCAAAATCTGAAGCTTAAGTTTGTAATCTGCAAGCCAGATTTTGCAAATGTCTATTAAAAAAACTCTGCAGGGCAAAAGGCCGAATACTAGATCAGATTTGTAAAAACAACATATATATGTGTGTGTGGGGTGTGTGTGTGTGCGTGTGTGTGCGTGTGTATCAGGATTCGTAACATAATATACAAAATTATAGAAGGAATCATTTATCAGATAAAAAAAAACTGTTACAATTAAACATTTACATAAAGTGTTAAAAACAAAACTGTTTCCTATTTTAGGTCAGGCAGAGTTACCAAAATAATTTATCTTCTAAATGCCAGAATAAAGAGAAAGAGAATTTTATAATCAACTTTTTTCAGAGTCGAGCGTTTACATGGCATTTGGCAGAATTACCAAGGTTGGTAATTGTTAACTTTGGGTTAAATGTTTTTGGGATATTTCCAGAATCTTCTTAGAATAACTTGCTGGAGTTTTGGTCCATTCAAATCTTCCATGGGTGGGAGATCAGAGCTTTGTTATGGCCTCTCCAAAACATTGACTTTGTTGTCATCAAGCAAATTGTAACTAATTTACTGGTATGCTTATGCTGTTGGTGCTCAATGTTTAACTTTCTAGGTTATGTCTTCCTATGCTGGGTTAATATGTCTACATAATTTTCTTTCCTCATGATTTCATGTTATCTGTGAAGTGCACCAGTCCCTTCTGCAGTGACACATCCACACAAAATGGTGCAGTTTGCACTTGGGATAATGTTCTCAAGTTTACAAGCTTTCCCACTTTTTCCACTAAATACAATTCTTTGATTTTTAGTTTCATTAGACCACACACGTCTCCAAAAGTGTGTCTTCCTCACATGTTCAATTCCTTTCATTGAAGATGAGGAGACTTTTAGACGCTTCAGCCAGCATTTTCACCGTACATTTGTAGAATAAAAGAGCCATGTTATATATGCTTGCAAATTATAGTTTCTAATAGACAAAATTGGCACTTTCAGAAATGTTGAAAATATAACAAGCAAAGCCTAACAGCAATGTAAGAAACATAAAATTAACTCGAAAAAAAAAGGAAAAACGAAGCCACACTACCACATGCAAACTTCCAAAATGGAAGAAATCAATGCAGTTTTCTCTCTTGTTATTCTGCTACAACCCTAACTGATTTAAGCCAGCAAGAGGTTAGTCTGATTTAATTGATTAAAAAATATGTTTCTTTTTTGTAAGAATATGCTTTTAACTGCAAACTGATTTGTTTTTGTGATTTTTACTTTTGCCCTGAATTTGTGGCTCTTCCAAACCATTTCAACGCTGAAGTGAAGTCCTTCTTTCCTTCTGTGAAAAAAAACATGTATTCAACAATGGTTTGTTGACATCACTTTAAACTTCTAAAGGTGAATCGTAGAAATCATCTATTTGTGCCCTAAGTCCATTTATTACTGGTTTTGATAAAGGCACTTCTAACGGCAACATAAAGTTGCTTCCAAATATTTGGCCTGCATTGGAGTTGCCTCCAAATGTTTAGCTTGTAGTGCAGCTTGCAGAGAAATATAAACCCTACATGCAATAAAACACCCTCTTTAAATCATGTTTAAATTTCATCCTACAACAGTTTTTATAGGATAACATTAACAGACCCACATAAATAAATGTTAAAAAAGGTTTTGTTTTGTTGTCCTGGATTTGAGTCAAACGGCACTCGCTGATGCTGATCACCATTCAGGTGCAAAATTAAGATTAAATGTGTCTTAAAATCTTATTTTGCTCCTACGGACAATGTTTCCATGTTGGGAAGTTTGCTAAAATACTTGGCTACAGCTAGCATGTTTACATGTAGATAATTTGCTTTATAAACTTGGCACTTTTCTTTAATTTTTGTACTTTTAAGCAGCTGCTCATACAGTCTCTTTCACTGTCATTGTAATGGATGAACAACTTTCCGGCTGTAGGAGGTTTCTCTTCATTAGGTTTCTATGAAGTTGTGCAGAAGGCTTTTAGTGGCCAATGTCTGTGATCAGGTGTGTGGCAACAGGGAAACCTTTAAAAATATGCTGGACAGTGAGTCCCAAGGTCTAGGGTGAGAAAAAACTACATTAGAATTTGATTGCTACTAAACAAAGAGTGTGACATGGCTGTGCTAGATCAGCAGTGATTAAGTTTGGGATTTATTTGCTGTCCCCAGGTAATTCAAATCTCATTAATTACCTCAAAGGTGAACGGTTGCTGCCTGCAAACACAATCACTTTTGCTTAAAAAGCAAAGATTTGCTAGTGGTGTAAGGTGGGGGTTTGTGTAGGCAGAAATGCATTTATATTTGTCAAAAACAGTGTTTTATGCTTTTAGTTAGAATTCTAAGTTGATGACAGTTCCTCTTGAGGATCTCGGCTCCCTGGCAAATAAAGCATAGTCAAAGACCGAGATAAAATCACTGAACACAGTACTTAGAGACATATTTAAATTGCATCTATGTCTGTAGATGCAATATTTAGAGGATGCACTGTGACTTTAATAAATGTGAAAATGCATGTTTGATTTGGATGCAATTCTGCTGCTGAATCTTCCTCTGTTGTCACATATACCATGCATTGCAAGGTACACACTGTAAATGAAGAGGCTAATTAGTCAGAAGATCCAATTGCACTGAATGACATTAAGAACTTTGCCAAACTGCTGCCTAGATGTGGGATTGGCTCCTAATAGAACAGGAAGTCAGTGTATAAGATTAGCTGTAAGCATAGCAGTGTTTGAAAACATAGCCGAGTATACGTGGGGATTATTTACGGTACAGTAAGTGCATCCCTTTCTGATACCTCCTTCATAAAGGCTGTAGTCAGCTAAATGCTTTAACAGAGTTTGTTTTGCAATATCATCCTAATCAAGATTTTTTTGTTGTGAATGAATGTTCTAGAGTTTGATTTGGGTTTGCTCAGTTTGTTTTCCAAACTTTGTTTTTGGGGTACCCCTGTATAATTCTTATTGAGAAAAGTATGACTCTAAATAAGACGATGGACTATTAGGATTGTTGTGAATAAATAAATTAATTAATTTTTTAAAAATGCCAAAAAAAACCTCAGATTTTGAGATTCATTTCAAAAGTTTTCAAGAAATACATTGGCTATATGCTAATGTAGAAAAGCCACAATTTGTCATAATTAGCTGCTTAAATTTACAATATTAAAAACTATGATGTTCTCTAACATTGTATAGTTCAATACATTTGAACTATCAAAGTTGTCAGAAAAAGCTCAGAAGCTAAGTCAGACATTTGGAGCAGAAAATGTCAACAGTCTTCTAAGATAGAGGGCTGCTGTTATTTTGGAGATGTGCATCTGGGTATTTCCCAAGTGGTGAATCCGGGCTCTTTTCCTGTATCAGAACCATCTCTCATGTGCAGACATGTTGTAGCTGCGTGTATTCTGGATTCCATTTGCGGCGTTCATGGAGAGTCTGCGTCCTGGAGATGTTCTGATACAGCAGAAGAGCTTAGATGTACCACTTAGATAAACCCATGTATACATATATATGGCTTTAACTGTTGAAAAATGTAAACAAAAATCTTTGCAAATTCATAATTTTTTGACATAACATCCAAGTCTTTCCTTGTAAATAAAAGGCTTGGATCCCTATTAAATTTCTGAGTTTCACAGGGACAATGTACTCCTCTCTGGTTAATTGGTTTATTTTTTACTTGATCTAAAATTTCCCCTAATAGTCCTTATACAGATAAGTCTATGAATATATTTTTTTATGTAACTGACACATCTGCCTGTTCTCTTTTACCCCCTAAACCTACGTAATTATTGTGTGAGATGATTCCCTCAAAAGTTTGAGTCAGCTGAGTCATTTGTATTGTAAAAGGGTTTTCTCTTCTTTTGCTGAATTGTTTAAATTCAGCCACAATGAACGGTTTCTGAGTGTGAACAACCTCTTGAGGGTCACACCACAGCATGTCAATCAGATTTAAGTTCAGAGTTTGACTAGGCCAGCCTTCATTTTGTTTGCTTACTTTGTCAGTTCCTGTTTTTTGAGCAGTGCAAAAGCTTCATATCCAAGTCAGTTTAAATGGTAAATGGCCTGTTCTTCAGAAATGTCCAATTTTGAAAAAAGCCTTGAGAGCCATCAAAATCGTTTTGGATGGATGCAGGTTTTGTCCAATCCCTTTCCTATTGCTGAGTCAGGAACACAGAGTTTAACTGAGGCGAGAAATGTTGCAGAAATGTAAGTGTCATACACGTGGATGTACGGTACTGTTTCTCTGCACCAGATTTTTGTTGCTGTGAAAACAGAAACACTTGGTAACAAGCAAAAACTAACCCCAATAGTTTTCATTCTACCTTTTTACAAATTTTATCTCGTGCATCCTTGCCGTGTGTTTGTTTTTTTTTTTTTTTTTAATAAGTTTGTATTTCTATACTGTTTTTCTTTTGTTGTTGTTGTTGTGTTTTTCAGGACATTTTCCAGCCGGTTCTGGCTACAGATGACTTCCAGGTGTTTCGCTCGCTGATGGTTCAGAAGAACATGGAGCTGCAGCTCCAAGCCCTCAGAGTCATTAAAGAAAAAAATGGTACACAGACAAAAAACACAGACACAGTTTTGCTGCATATCCAAGCACGCACTTTCGGTGTGAATTCTGCTAATAAAATCTGTATGTAGGGGCCCTACCAGAGTGTCTGACCGATGGGGTTGACGTGATGACCGAACTAGAGCAGCAAGAGATGAAAATCCTGGAGGAAGTCCTCAAGTACGTTCCCTCTGTTTATTTTCATTACTTTGTTTCAAAAACACTGACATGAAGGTAGGTTTCTGTTTTCCCATTCCCATTTTATCAATGATGTAGGACCAACAATGAGGCTACATGGTTGATGTAGCCCATGAAACCGTTTTGCTGACCAGTCAGTGTCTTCTGACAGTCACTTCCATCATCCGCTCGGTTCCCGTTGTCTTCCTTTTAGCTGTTGAAGACAACAGCTCCTTTCTGAGACCGTTTTAAAGTAAGCAATTAATATAACATGTATGCTTTTAAATTGTGGTACAATTTAAATTTGCAAACTCTACACTGAAAGGAGATTCAGTAGGATTATTCTAACCACCACACCAACATGGAGACTGGTGTCAAACTCTGAGTTGGACATGTAAAACTGACTTTTTCAGGTTTGCCTAAATTTAGATCTGGTTTCTTTCAAATACTTGAAAGCATTCACACCCGTTAAAGTTCTCCCTCATTTGCAAAAACAGATTTCATCATATTTTATGATACACCAACAAAATACCAACAAAAGTGAATAATTGTGGATGGAAAATGACGCATGATTTTTGAAAATGTTTTATAACAAAAAAAAAATTTGTCAAGTATGGCGTGTATTTGAAATAATACCAACTGGTTCAATGCTTGGAACCGCATTTTATTTTTCTTGACTAAAATAACAAACAGTGATACATGTTTGTCTCCACCAGCTTTGCCCATGTAGAGACTGAATGTTTTGAAAAATAGCTCAAGCACAGTCGGGTCAGATGGAGAGGATTTGTTGAACCTCAGTTGTCATGTTTTGCACCAGCTTCTCTGTCGCTTCTGGGGAAAAAAATAAAATAAAAAAAATCCCCACATAATCAATTTGGCTGTCCTCTGACCAGGGCACAATCTCAGACGTTTGCCACTTCTTTTGGGAATCTGCCAACAGAACTTTGTTCTTGCCACTCTTCCACAAAGACTAGATTTGTGATCAGGTATAGTTGACAACATATTCTCCATCTGAGCTGTAGATTCCCGCAGCTCCCCTAGAGTAATTGGCTTCTTCTCTGACCATTGTCATCACAATTATGCACTACACACATTTGCCACAGAAAATCTCCATAGACTACATTGAGGTTGTGGTTGTGATGTGAGCATATTTATTGATAAGCTCTGACAGACGTGCAGCCTCTCACACTACTCTTGTTTACTATGCGTTTCTTGTCTATATGCGCCGATGGGGCATCTTGTAGCTCCTATATCCCAGCTCTCTAATGGGATTTTGCCAGTGACAGCCAGGCCAAATAAAAACACACCGAATCCAATAGGAATGCAGCTAAGCTCATTAGCTTTCAGCTAATTTAGGGTATCAGGATTGAAAGTTAGAACACGATGAGAAAATTGTCATCCCCTTTGTCTTCCTCAGCTACATCGGCTACCTTGGTCCTGGGACCCTTCTTTTTTAGGTCGTCACAAAAAGACCTGGCCGTTCTGGGAACTTTTCCGTCTGGAAAACGTGTCCACTGTCGAGTTTTAAGAGTAACAGAGGAATCACCAAAATGTCAGGCTTTTCGAATTTTTCGAAAGAGGCTTGACTGATAAAAACACTTTAACAAAACAGCTTTTTCCGACACTGAATTTAGGTGGCACCGAGTGTCAACACATCCAGGTTAGGATGTCCTCAGTCTGGTTCAGCAGGTTACAAACACCTAACAGGATTTCTGACAGGGAGCCATCCCGGTAACTCCGTCTCACTCTTTCCTCTCTGCAAATGTGTCGCAGAAGCCCGATTGCAGTGTGTGTGCCGTGGGTGAAATGGCCTTATCTTGAAGTGGCACGAATATTTCAAGAGCAAAAGATTGTGGAAGAAAGCCGTCGACAAGGTGCAAGTGCATCTCCAGAAATGTAAATAATACGTCAGTAAAAGTTTATTGGGTTCAGGTCAACTCTACGATGAAACATTAGAGTAAGGCTAACCTTTTTTTTTATTATTATTATTACGACAATAAAATCAAAATATTACGAGAATAAAGAAGTTATTTAAAGAGAGCTTCAACAAAAAAACGATAATGATGGACGTTACGTGTCTTATGAAGTTATGCTTTGTCATCGGTTTTACAGAAAGAAAATACTTAATTTATAATTAGATTTTTAGAAAAGAATGCAGGAAAGAAACTCGACTTAAATCGGATCTAGAGTGAAAAAAAATCTGATTTAATTTTGAAGCAATATCGCCCAACCCCAGTCCAAGAAGTTTAATCCTTGCCTCTGCTACAGTCGCGTATTTGTGATCTACTGAAGAGGGAATAACGGGTCTAAAAGCTGCTGAAGATCCTCCAGTTGACTCCAAAATGCACTGAAATATCCTGGAGTTGCTTCATCAACTGCTGTGAGAACGTCTGAACAGATACTGTTGTAAAAGTCGCCCGCGCCTCTGTTCCAGTATTAGACCCGTTTTCTCCTGCTACCGTGTTTTCAGGAAGTCGAAGGAGGAGTACGATGAAGAGATGTCCAGGAAGCTGCTCCTAGAGAGGAAGACCGGCTCCACTTCCAGCAGATCCTCGGATAAACCAAACGCAGGCGATGAGGAGGTCCGAGAGGCCACGCTGGCGTCCAGACAGAACAACTCTTCCAAACGCGCACCAGGTAAAGCAGAGACTTCCTAAACAGCATTAATGTTGGAAAAGGTTGTGGTAACAAAACATGAGCAGCTCGACATCACTAACCAGAGTCGTCGCTGTTTTTCAGTAGGGATTGTGCTTCTGTGTCACATTTTGAACATGAGTTACAATCATATAAGCAACCAGCTGTCTGTAAAGAAATGCTCTAAGCTCTAAGGGTTATAGATTTTAAGACTTAACTGATCGAAGTCACTCCAAGTCCTAGAAAAGCAGCGGCTGTCGTCCACAAACCGAAAATCCGAAGCCAGTTTCTGCATTTTGTCTTTTCGTTATTTGTGCGGCCTACAGATAATGACTCGACTGCTATTCAAACAAAACGGTTCTCTCAACTGTACAGGTTTTTACAGAAAAAGAGAGTATTTTAAGATCTAGAAGTTTGTACAGAAAACTTGGATTGTTTTCTTGCCTGAAAGGAAGAAGCTCCAGAAGAGAAAACATCTGGCTGACAATAGGGAATCCAGATTAAAGTTGGTGTTTCAACAAAGCAACGACTCTAAAAACACCAAAACCCCAGGATCTTGATCCAACAGAACTCCTTTGGGTTTACGCGAGACATTCATTCATTCTGTGAGGAAAACAAACGAGAAAAACGGAGAAATGTTTGCATGTCTGTTCACAAGTGTCAGAAGTAAAAAGTTAGGGCGGAGTTTCTCCGGCGAGACACAATAAGGCAGATTCTTCTTCCGTTATTCGTCAGAAAAGATAACACAGCTCCCGTTGGTTGTTGTAAATCCTTTGTGCAGACTCTGGCAGTAGCAGCATCCAGTCCAGAGCGCTGCCAGCCCTGCGAACTCCTACAAAATCCAGCAAGTCTTCCAACGCCAACAGCTGTCAAACAGTGGAGCACAGCGACAGCAGGGACGCTGCGGCCGAGGTCTACCTGCAGGAGGCACACCGGGAAGCGGGTTTCTCCAAGCCATACACCGTGAGTCCGAGCTTTCATTGCCTTCCTTAGACATTCAGCACACGTCAAAACCATTTCCAAAACCACCTGAAGTGGATTTCCACAGGCTGTAGAGCCGTTCAGTCCAAACACTGTGGTTAACTCCTCTACCGAAACTGTTTTTGTTTTTCTCTCCCCAAACGGTTGTGCTAATTCCAGATTTACGGCTTCAAACTGTATGCAGGAGCTGTTACCGTCAGAGCAGGAGCAGCTGCAGCAAAGGGCAGCGTATCTGCGTCAGCAGCGAGACAAGCTGCACGCCCTGAAGAAAGAACAGCAGAAAATCAGACAGACGCCCGCCCTGGAGGAGCCACCGGCCAGCCCTGCTCCCCCACCAACCGCCAACTCAGTGAGTACAGCCTTCCGTCTTTCCAAATGAATAACTTTCTCACTTCAGTGTTAGGTTTGTTAGAATGTGCAAAAGCATTTCTGTTTGCTAAAAGCCAGATAACCTTGCAAGAACATTTTTTAAGACATTGTTTTGTGACTTTCTTTGCATACTGGGCTTCAGCTTCATTTGAGCAGGAAGATGATTTAGCTTGACATGGTTTATTTGGATTGTTTCAATTTAATGAATATCTATAAACCCCGATGGCTCTATGACTTACTGATTTGTTTATCTTATATATTTGCATTAAACAAAAGTCATTACGATTGGGGGACATTTTGTTTTGTGTGTGTGTGAGCTGCACATGTCAACACAAAATTACCTTGAAAATGCTTGAAAAGTGTTTGAATTGTACAGTGGGAAAGGTGCACACACACCTGCACCATGTTCTCTTTCATCCTTTAAGTTCTCGGCTCACAATTTGATTTCCGGTGATTTTACTCCTTCATTTTTACGCCTGACATTTCTTTTCACTTCATTTTTTTTTATTCTTTAACTCCTTCTTGCTGTGTGTGATGGCCTCCGCTCTGGCCTGTCAGGAGGCAGAGGGAGAGCCCCAGATGAACGGGGCCAGCTCTCCTCCTCCTCCATTGCAACACTCGACTAACTCCACCAACCAGAAGGTGATCCATCAGCCCCCTGATGTGAACACACACGGTGCCTTGCAAATGTTTTCACACCTCCGACCTTTATTGTTTTCAGCAAATACATTGGGGAAGGGAAGTTTGCGATGTAACAAAATATGTGGAAAGGTTAGAGGTGTGAACACTGTTTGAAAGCACCGTGACCTTAGTGTTTACCGCTAGCGTCACCGTGTTTGTGTTTTCTCCCACGCCGACGAAACTTTGGGTATTGAAACCTAATCTCTTTGAAAGAGATTATTCTAGTTAACTCAAAGATGCACATCCTATCTTAGGTGTTGGCGCGCGTTCATTCTGTCAACATTCGCTGACCTCGCTGCCTGTCCTGACCTCTTCACACAGGACATATCTGCTGAGGAAAAGAAGAAGCTCCAGAAGAGAAAACATCTGGCTGACAAGCTGAAGGAGGAAGTCATCAAGAAATAATAACCGTCGATGCGTACCCAATAAGTTATCCTGTCTCATCTCTGTTCCTGGAACACACAGCATGCTAATTAACTTTATACAAGACCTGATTTTTTTTTTTTTTCAAAAGGAAAGTAGAAAATTGACTATTCTTTTTGCTGAAGTGATGCATCTGACTTTTTCACTAAGGAACTTTATTACTATTACTATTATTAAGCTAACTAAACAAGCCAATTTTCTGCAGCAGCATGCTGCTGAACGACGTACTTAGCTTTTGTCCAAAATCACTCACTAGTAGGAAGTGTCATTTTGTCAGTAAGTTTGAATCCAGTTTCCAGAAACCTGAGATAATTTCTCCAAAATTCACAACATGCATTGGGGATATTAGTTCACAATTTGTAAATATCTCCAGAGCTGCAACGATTAACTCATGATCAGTTGTTTTCCCACGAAAATGCTCTTGAAATCACAATTGAATATTCCTGATTTGAGGGGAAAAAAAGTATTTATTTATACTGTATATTACTGCGACTGATAAAATACATAAGATAGTGGCTTAAAGATATTGCTCAAATTGTTCTAACGTTAAGAGTTTTAGCTCAAAAATGTTATTTTATAGCTGACTGGGAGTGAATTAAGGCACCGCCATGGGGGTGCAAATGTGCAAAAAAAGGCGATGATAGAGCCATATGTAAGGTACAGATGGCCAAATGAAGTCACTGAGGTAAAACTATATATTCATAAATATTTCAGTACTTCAAAAAGTGAACCTCCTGTAGAATAATTACAGCGATCCACGTAAATTTGTTCTCATTTTGATGATCACAGCTTATGGAAACCCACTCGTTTCATTATATTCATTTTTATATGTACCTTCTGTGGTTCACCTGAATTAGCTCAAAAATCCTGTTTTGTAGCAGTGCTGGGGAGCTGAGGCGCAAACTTGGAAAATGGAGAACAAAGCTTGTGTTGGTTACGTAAAGTGAAACAACCATGCGATGGTTGATCAAAGCTGATGGTGCTAGCTCGCGCATGCTCGGCTTTTCACACCGTTTCCATTAGGAAAGGGAAGCCTCCTCCGTTCACACGGAGTCAAGAGTTCATGAGATTAACACTAATCACATATTCCCAAAGGGGCCAAGAATGCGATGTGGTTGCTTCACACGAATGCAGTATTCATTCTCAAGGAATCAGCAGTTTTTACTTTAAGCATGTATGATGCACCGGTTTTGTGTTTGTACGTATATGTTATACATGCTGGTTTTAATAAATCACATTTTGTAGAAACAACTTGAACTCCAGGCTATAGAAATAACAGTAAAGGTCAAAGGTGGCTCGGTCATACGTTGCCTCTTAAGCTGTTGTAAGCTTGTAGAAAGGCGTCACCTGTTAATCACAAATAAGCATCTATTTACAACCGGATGCACTGATCATATTGTCAACGAGTGATGCCACGTCCAGGCTGGAGAGAAAAAAGCAAGAAATCATATATTCAATGTCAGGATCACATTTAATTTCAAAACTTATCAAATAAATTCATACAAATGTTAAGAATGGATAGTGGTACTAAATGCACTTGGTACAAATTGACTCAGCAGAATCAGTCTTTGTTGGGTGACATTGACAGAAAGGAGCAAAGCCAGTTCCCCGCTCAGGTCCAGACGTTCCACCGCTTTCATTCTCCGACAGTTTTGAATCCCTTCATGTGACGTTGTGCGTTTTGTCTGTGTAAAACACGACATTAAAAAGCTACACTGCCTCAACCGCAGGAGGGGCGTGAAGGACATCAAATCAGGTCTGAAATGGCTCACCCGTTCTTACATCATCATTGCAGCACGTTTCCTTCAACTTATTTAACTGCGTGAAAGGAAAAAAAGAAAAGAAAAAAACATACGTGGAGAAAAGCTGCTCTTAAGTCGCCTGGAAACCAACTCTGCACCCGAGAACTGTCTGAAAGTCGAATTTCTCGCCCTCGTTTGAAGTTGGACTCGGGGTAAAACCAAAACCACAGCATATCCATTGGGCAGAACTGGAGAGTGACAAAAAAAAAAACTCCAGACATCCTCGAAACGTTGGCCACAAACATGACTTTGCCACAGTTTTAATGAGGAATCCTTAAAACTGACATGTTGAAGTTTTTCCAGAGTTTACACTGAATCAAATGAAATCACCTAAAAAAGGGTGAACAGTGATCCCCCATCTTTTGTGTTGTGAAAAGAAAAAGAAGAAAAATCAGGTGGGTGTCCTTCCTCCCCTTTCAAAACCACGCTTGGAAGAAGAGAGGGGCGAAATGGTTAAAGGACAACGAAATATATGTACAGTACTTTAACAAACTTGTGAAATGCAAGACTCGTGGCTAACACAATCCCACAAAATATTGTGTTAAAGTCCCGTGTGCCCCGCCCCCAAAACGGATGCCATGGCTTTTTGAACATTCGAGTCCTGCTCTACTGGAGCTAAGCGTTTGTCCCCCCCCTTCATTTAATGTTTCCACGCTGCCTGAATCCCTCTGAATCTGACCTGGTGGCACATAATCAGCTCCAGCCAGTCAAATCGGAGGGCTAGTCCCGCTAGCCTGGGCGGCCGGCTGAACAGTTTGTATGCTGGCTGGTCGGGTTTTCGGCTTCTTCTTGCCTCACTGGTTCGGTTGGGAGATGGATATAGAGGCTTTCTGACTGTTGCAGCAACAGAAATACAGAGAACAAAAAACAAACAAACAAACAAACAAAAAAAAGGTGTCTGACCTGGTGTTGCCATGTCATGTTTTGACAGTTGAATGGTGAAGAAAAGGGGGAAAAAAAACGTGGTACAAAAAAGAAATGGAAGAAGAGATTTGGATTTCCCAAACAGGTTTATGTGTTTAATAAAAAAGGGGGGGAGTTAAAAAAAAGAAAGAAAGAAAAAGACAGCCTACAGAAATAGACTGCAACCTGTCTTTCCAGAGAAGCTCTTCACCTCCTTCCAAAGGGGGGCAAGGAGCAGAGTTCAGGACTGAGGAAAGGCGGGAGGCTCGTCTGGCTCAGTGCGATGCCTCTGAGGGACCAGAAGGTGGCGCCAGAAGGCCGAGGACCAATGAGACGGCCAGGGGAAAGAGGGAATGGGAAGGACTCCACGTCCTTCCGCCATGGCGGAACCAGAGAGAGCTATTATAAGCTTTAAGAGCTCAGACGGGTTCTCTTTCTTGGAGACTGCTCCTCCTCCTCGTCCTCGTCTTCCTCCTCTTCGTCCTCATCGTCAGGGTAGTCCACCAACCCGACAAGAGCAGTCTAAAAGAAAAACAGAAAACGCTGACAAAGTGCCTACATGCTTTAAATAAATTAAGAAAGGCATTTAGATTTGTATTTTTTTTTTTATGAAAGTAATCCATGCTTGTGACGTTTGGATACCTTAACAACAGGAGTGGCAGGAAGGGCAACTGTTTTGACAGACGAAGATGAGCTGTTGCTTGACGTGACGGCTGGCGAGGCAGGTGGGATGGTGGCAGATTTGCCGTTGTTGGCAGCGTTTGCTCCGTTGGCGGCTCCTGCAGTGACAGAAGACGACGGCCAAGGCGTGATTCCAGAGTTCAACACAAAGTTTTCGGGGCGTCAAAAACATTCGCAGCTGAGCACATCACCTTTTTTGGCTTCCATGAACTTTTCGTAGCTGTCGGAGAAATCCTCGTCCATCCTTCTCTCCACCGCCTCACCGTCTTCATCGTCGTCATCGTCATTGAACCACAGCTCTTCGTCCTCGTCCATAGACCGCGCGTCTCTACGATACCTGCGGATGACAACAGGTTTCATGTAGAATGTCGCAAAGAAATCCAAGTCGTTATTGAGAATGGAAAATATTAATTGTTACCAACAACCTGAAGAAATAATGTCGGGCTTTTAAAACTGGAACATACATGTCTTAAAAAAAAAAAAAGAACTTTAAAAGTCTTGCAGCTACCTGTAACTAGCAACTAATATACCCTTGCTAGCTAGCTACTGTTTTTGCTTCCTTCATGAGAACAAAGCCGGGTTCAGTTTTTGCTGCGCTTGATTGTTACGCAACAAGCTCCCCCAGACATTCCTTATATTTATAGCTTTAAATTTCATTCAGAGTGAAATAAAGAAGATTTTTAAAAGTCTTAAATTTGACTTCCTGAAACCTGCAAATATCCGGAAGCAGCTGAAATCTTACGTGCAGTAATTAAAATGTTTCAGCATGTTTATTTTAAATAAGTCCAGATATTTGTGACCTGGAAACTGAGGCTAACAGCCAGTCAAAGAGCTGCCAAGACCATCCAAAAACTCTTACTTATGTAAGCTCAAACAGACTGAAATGATGTTGAATGTAGAAGTCTCTTTTGCTCTTGGACACACACTTTAGGATTTCTCCAAAAGTAGTAAGTAAGACATTTACTGTTTGTACCTTTTATCAAAAACTCATCACGTAAATCCTAAACCATCCCTTAAAGAAAATGACGAAGTCAATAATTTCACAGTTTTCACTGACCTGTTGAGTTTCTGACTCTGCCTGTCTTTTTCCTGCTCATATCGGCCTTTCAGGCCCTTGAAAGTCTGGACGTACTCGATGGATTCAAGTGCTTTGTAGAAATTATCTACGATGTGAGCTATGAGAGATTTGATGTCCTCCTGTGGAGAGGAGAAAAAAAAAGTGAAACTTTCTGAGAAGTCAAGGGACATATTTGTAATCTGGGTAGGAATTTAACGTGCACGTACCACTTTGATGAACTCGAAGAGCTCGATGATGGCCGAGTTGAGGAGGTTGTATCGGGTGCCGTTGTCCAGCAGGGCATTGATGACGGGTTCAAACAGGTTCCCTTTGATGATGTAGCGGTTGTAGTACTCGTCTTTTAGTCCGATGATTCTCCGCATGAAACGCAGCGCACCTTCGACAGAGAAAAGCCATCACGTTTTAAGTGAAGCCCTAGAACTAGAACCGGAAGATTTTTGGAAAGAGCAACATAAAGGTTTGTAGGCTAGGACTTACAAAGAGCAAGGAAGGTGTGTTTTGAGTTCATGAGCACCAGCACTCTCCTGAGCAGGTCTTTGTTCATAATGTAGGTCTTGATATGGTAGGTGTGATGCTCCACACAGAAGGTGAGCAGCTCCAGGATCAGTGCGAGCAGCTGAGCCGTTTGGAAGTTGTCTGCACAAAACAAATACGGCTCTAATCAGAACATTTAAAACATGCAACAAGACTATTTTTGTGCAAATTAATTTTCAATAGGATCCCATAGCTGACCATTGGCTGTTCAATGAAATTAAACTGGACCCACCTGGACAAACTGGGTTAATCTTTGCAGATCCTTCTGGATCATCTGGAAGGCGATGGCAATCAATATTAAAAAAAGAAACACTTCTGTAATGCAACATTATGATTATGCTTTGCATTGGGGGCCAGGTTTACCTTTTGAGTTTTTGTCATGTGCAGTGTTGGCCAGAAGAGGAGCAGTCAGGACATGCATGCAGTACTTGTAAAAGAAACTCAGGAATTCTGTCTTCTCCGTTTTCTGAAAGACGTTAGTGAAAGTGGAATCGGTGTTAAAACAACCAGCAGTTCGTCCATTGAGGATTAAATGCCATCATTCTGTGCCCTCCTCTTTGAGGTTGTAACGTGACAAAATGTGAAAATGTTAAAGCAATGGGAAGAGTTTTTCAAGGCTCTTTGCAAGGTTAACTTTGAACAGTCTCAAACAGCTCTGAGATCTGGCTGTCGTTTCTTTTTTTTTTGATAACTGGCAGATTTCTGACTGGCTTTGCTTACATTGGTGGAAGCCAGCATGTTTTCAGGGTCGATTAGAGTCCTGAGCAGACCCATAAGCTGGACGGCCCCTCCCAACTCTGGATCAGAGTCACAAATCATCTGCTTGATCACAACATTTATGAGTAGAACGTCCTAGAATAGAAGCACAAAACCCAAACAGACACGGGAGAGAACAGACATCATTAAAAAAGAGGAATATATTGAAACAAGTTCGTATGTTAACAATCTATGCTGAGTGAATGTTACATCCCCTCAGGCTTTTCATTATCATTTTGTGCTGAATTACACTTTGCATCTCAGATTGTACAACGCTTCCACATTAATTGCCGCAGAGCTATAAACCAATCTAGAGATACGCACACTCCACATATCACAAAAATAACACAGAAACTTAAAATGCGACGCTTAATATTACACTTTCAAGACAAGAACATTTCTGCTCACATCTTCGGTTTGCTGCGGTTCCTGCATGACAAACTCCCTGACCATCGACGGACTGAACTCCACCAGGTACGAGAATATGTCAATAGCTG